CTGCTGCTCTCTGATTTAGAATGGAGCTTCAGAAAGCTTGTCAAGTTCAAATCAAAATGCAGAATGAATACTGAACTGCTGAATACATGCTACGTGTGTGTGTGTTTGTGCGTACGGCCTGTGCGACGAGGAGGCATCGCTCTTTTCCTGCTCTCTCTTTGTCAGCTCCAGGGGTTTCTGTCTGTTGTCACAGAGATGCGTGGGTGATGTCAGCTTGTTCTGTACTGCCATTTGGTTCAAATGCAGCCCATAATGATCGTGTTTTGTTCTCTTCATGTGCAGATTTTCTCCAAACTCTACTGCATAAAATAACTCCTGTCATCAAACAGAAGACACTTGAAAACTCTGAACTCAGCTAAATCGAAACCCACTTTAATACTCACACACAAAAATGTGACAGGAACAATGAGATAATTCGCAGTTTATCATACACACACTTAAAAGTGTCATATAATACATTGTTTAATTTTTTTGTTTTTCATCTTGAGGCCCACATATTGTTATTTGAGGGGTTATTGTACCAAAATAGTCAAAATAGTTATAATTGAGTGTTACATGACTATTTTCTACCCTTTCACTGACCCTTACTAGTAGACAGGCCATTTTTGCAGCTGCACCTTTAAGATTCCTATGTAAACTGCCTCTTCTACATTAAGTCTTAAAGGTATGCAGCAGTATCTTAAAGGGATAGTTCCCTAAAAAATTCTAAAAAATTAAAAAAAATGTATACTCTCATTCAAAAACTGTATGACTTTCTCTCTTCCTTTCTCTCTTCTGTGGAGCATAAAATCAGATATATTGAAAAAAAATCTGTGTGTGTTGTTTCCATTTGGTTACTAATAGTCTACAGAATATCTCCTCTTATGTTCCACAGAAGAAAAAAAGTCAAACAGGTTTGGAACAATACAACAGTGAGTAAATTATTTTAAATAAATTTTCATTTTGGGGTGAACTACTTTCCCTTTAAAGGTATCAGCAATATAACAGTATCTAATTTGTCTGTAGTTTAGAAATAATATGTTCAATTCTGCTTGATGTGGCTGGTTATGGGGCAACTGACCCCTATGTCGAAAATCTCATATACAGTGGGTACGGAAAGTATTCAGACCCCCTTAAATTTTTCACTCTTTGTTATATTGCAGCCATTTGCTAAAATCATTTAAGTTAATTTTTTTTCCTCATTAATGTACACACAGCACCCCATATTGACAGAAAAACACAGAATTGTTGACATTTTTGCAGATTTATTAAAAAAGAAAAACTGAAATATCACATGGTCCTAAGTATTCAGACCCTTTGCTCAGTATTTAGTAGAAGCACCCTTTTGATCTAATACAGCCATGAGTCTTTTTGGGAAAGATGCAACAAGTTTTTCACACCTGGATTTGGTTAAGGGGGTCTGAATACTTTCCGTACCCACTGTATGTCTCATACACGTAGATCACACAGACATACAGTACATAGACATACACTCACACTCCAGATATTAGCAGAGGAAGATTTGTAGTGTACAAATACACATAATCCAGCATAACAAGCATTTTAAACAAATTAAAGAGCCATATACAGTGGGAAAGGCTCTATATTTCAAGGCATTAAACTGCAGGTACTCTATAAGATCACATCTAATATCAAACATTTGCGAAACAATATTTACCTCAGTCTTATTGATTGGCAGTAATCGCATGAGGAACATTTTCCACGGAGAATCAGAGATCAATATCACTGTCAATCTTCATCTCGTCCCTCCTCACTCCCCTGACACACACAAACACATTGACTATTACACAACGTCCCCTTGCCATTTTAACTCAAATAGCCCAAACAATGAGGCTATGACCTGTATTTGACAGCCTTCATATACTCAAACCACAATTAGCCGCTAATTCAACACTCATTTTTGCGAACAGTGATATCCTCTTTCTGCTTTTCAACCCTTTGTTCATTCACGTGATATCTGTATATTATTTATAAAGATGCCAGACAGTGTGCTGCTATTTTGTTCATGAGTTAGCAGATTAGCAGTGGCTAGCACTAAGAGGTCAGTATTGAAGCATATCCCATACCACCTGTTCTAACCAATCAAACCTAGGCCTACATGGCAATTATGCCATTTAGACCTGCGGATTATAATTTCAAATAAGCGTTTAGAGCATTCTCCAACGATCAAGTGAGAGCAGGAAAGAATCAATAAGAATAGACTTGAGATAATCCATAGGAGAGGGAGACACACACTCGAGTGGCTGCGGGTGTGTATGGAGTGGATCAATAGCTTGTGTTAAGTAGTGGAGAGGAGGTCTCATTGATAAACTAATGCTTGTTCAGACTATGTCTTCCTCTCTCTCTCTATAGATCTCGCGCTTCGCTGGGTCAAGCCGAAGGGCCAGGTGGTGCAGTAGAGACACATACACTCTCACTCACACACTCACACACACACACACACACA